ACACACACACACACACACACACACACACACACCAAGTTAAGGAACGTGATCAGAGATTCTCCGGGTAGGTCCCAGACAATAATCAAAAACAATTAGTCTGAATAGTCTCTGATGTCAAACACTAATTGTGAAAATAGATTTAATGTGTAGCAGTATGCTTAGAATCCAAAATAAATTAAAAGATGTAGCACAAAGCCGATCGTGAACTTTTATTTATGAAATCATTTTATTTTACTTTGAAATACATTTGACACCAAATTTATACAGATGACAATGTTCTCTGCATATTGATGATTTGCTACCTGTAGATTAACAGTTGCAGACGTTTTTGGGAGGAGGGAGGGGACTATCCTCTGTTCAGTGAAAAACACATCTATTCGCTGTTTTGCTTCTAATAATGAAAGTGCTGCTTTGCTGCTATCTTGCGGCATCTTGGCACCAAGGTGCTACTGTATACTGAGTGAGTTGAGGAGCTTCATTTAGTCCTGTATATTCTGGCATCTAATGGCAATTAAAAACAGTAGATGCAACAGAACTTCACAAGAGAACTTTTCTGGTGTTAAGATTCTTCTTCTTCTCCTTTGGGCACGTCCCTATTCAGGGGTCGCCACAGCGAGTCAGTAATGTCCATCCGCCCCTGTAAACCGTCCTACCAACTCGCATGGTCGTCTTGGCAAAAGTTTTACGCCGGATGCCATTCCTGACGCAACCCTCCCCATTTCTCCGGGCTTGGGACCGGCACCGGGGAACAGTGCACCCCCAGGGGCGGGGGCACTGCTCCCCAGCGGCTGGGTTCTCTGGTGTTAAGATTAAAGAATTTAAAAATATTTTTGAAAAACAGTAAATGTGAACCAGATGTTGTACAATATGTGATATATTTGTATTTTTGAAATTAATTTTTTAAGAGGTTACCAAACAAAAAGGCGGGTATGAAAACAAGTATTATATATTTTATTTATTTTTATTTGACTGTAATGGTCAATTTCTTAATAATGTTTGAAATCCACTCTTACCATTTATTGCTTATTATGTTTTAAAAATAAAAGCTATTTTTGAAAAGCCCTGGATATAAAACCCAAGGTGAAGTGCGACTGGAAACTCGACTCTTTCCATGCTGTCACTACGCCACCTGCTGTTCTTCATCTGCTCCAGCAGCTGTGTGTACAGCAGGCAGGAGTTGGACGGTGTGGACATGGGCCTCAAGCGGACTCCCGGCACTGACATGGATGACTTCTGGCCGCCGCCCGACCCCGTCGTCAGCGAGACGATGGACAGGAATAGTATGACCAACGCCGCCCACTGCACCCAGGACAGCCGCCTCCTGGTGGCGGAGGAGTGAAGCAAAACATGAATTTTATTGTAGAACATTCCAGTTAAAAACACACATTTTAGTTTAACTCCAATTAAAAAGAAATGATGAAACTACAAAACAGTGAGTCAAATCAGTGCTCTGCTATCCCATATAATTACACTGAGTTACAGTCAGTACAAACTAAGCACTTGCTTAGGGCCACACAACGACTATGAGACCACCAAGGAAAATTGATATTAAAATTACTATTCTGGGCAGAAAAAAGAGGGCCGGATGTTCTAGGATGAGTAGCTTACTTGAGGACAAGTCTGAAGAGAACAGCTGTGGTGAGGATAACAAAGTTGGAGAACAAGACTGCCATGGCCTGAGGACAACATAATCAGGACAGTGCGGACAACATCAAGGTACAGTGGAGCTGAAAGGTCTACACATCGCTTTTCAAATGGCCATCTTTTTGGGATATAAAATAAAAGAGACCATGTTGACAAGTACCGTACTGGCCCGAGTATAAGACGGCCCTGATTATAAGACGACCCCCTCTTTTTCAAGACTCAAGTTTGAAAAAAGACTTTTTGAACACCAAATTCATTTTTATACAGAAAATAATTACAGTACATCTGAAACAAATGATGATAACAATATATTTGAGAGAAAAAGCATGTTACTTTGCCTTATTCAAATCTTAATATCTGAACATTTCAATATGTAAACTAAAGTGCAATCACATTCGTAAATGAATGGCTTCTGGTTTTTGAAATGTAAATTACATCACAACTTCTCCTCAGCTGCCAGTTAACCTGGACAATCTTTGACCCACTTTTCTCCAGATTGTCGCTACGTTTCTCCATTTTCTGTTATCTCTTCTATTATTTTCTTCTCTTTTCTTTCTTATTGCTATTTTTTATTTTTCTTCTTCGTGCTACCGCTATTTTTATTTTTATTCTTCATGGCAGGGGTTCACTTTGGCCTGGGGAGTCAAGTTCAGCATTCGCTTCATCGTCGTGAATGGGTATAATGTCTAGACCCCGAATATAAGATGAACCCCACTTTTTCAGTCTTATTGCAAAAAACACTGTCTTATATTCGGGCCAATACGGTAATTTCAAAACTTTTTCCACACTTAATGTGACCTAAAACGTATGCAAGTCAATTGAGGAAAAAAAAAAGAAATCTGTTTGAGAGGGCAAATATAAATGAAAAAAAAAAAAAAACTTGCTGAACAAAGTATGCACACTGTCTTATAAGTGTGGATTTTTATACATATATAGCATGCTCACCTTCCACTCACATATCAACACCATCACCCGCACTGCTTATTTCCACCTCCGCAATATTACCAGACTTCGCCCTTCCCTCACCCCCCGCGCCACTGGTATTCTTGTCCACAGTCTTGTCACATCCCGCCTTGATTACTGCAACGCTCTCCTCTTCGGCCTACCTCAAAAGTCCCTCCATAAAATCCAGCTGGTCCAAAACGCCTCTGCTCGCATCATCACAAAAACATCTTCCCAGCAGCACATCACCCCCGTTCTCCAACAGCTCCACTGGCTTCCTGTTCAACATCGCATCAATTACAAACTACTCCTATATACATATATGGCCATCCACAACCTGGCCCCTCCTTACCTATCCGACCTTCTCCAGGTGCATATCCCCACTCGCTCCCTCAGATCCTCGTCCTCCCTCCACCTGTCAGTGCCCCCTGCCCGCCTGAGCACCATGGGAGCTAGAGCCTTCAGTCGCGCTGCTCCAAAGCTTTGGAACAATCTACCTCCGGACCTCCAAAACTGCACATCTCTCTCCACTTTCAAGTCCCATCTAAAAACACACCTGTTCAGGATTGCCTACAACACATAGCTCTTCCATTCCCTATGTTTTTATGATTTTATGTCCTGTTTTTTTATATAATATCTCACTTACAAATTTTTACATTGTATTTTCTTATTGTCTGTACAGTGTCCTTGGGTGGCATGAAAGGCGCTTTTAAATAAAATGCATTATTATTATTATTATTATTATTATTATTATTTTACTCAGTTTAGAATTAACCAAACACATTCAAACTCAAGTTGATTTCGATCTAATTAATGGTGCTCAAGCAACTCTCACACAACACCAAAGGATATTTATTTCATTATGGCTCTTGTATTGGATCTCATAGGATATTGTGTGTGTGCGCGCGCGTGCGTGTGTGTGTGCGTGTGTGTGTGTGTGTGTGTGTGTGTGTGTGTAGCTTGTATCTACCCACCCACCCAAGAAAGGGACTTACAGGCTGCAGGTAGGTCATCACGTAGAAAATGATGAGGTTGTCAAGAAAGTAGAGGAATGCGGGGACAGCCCATTTCAAAGAGCTGAGGAGCGAGGAGGCCGAAGAGCAACGCAGATCTCTGCAGGAGCGTCCCTCTGAGATGAGTCAAGATTCAAAATATGTATTATCATATGAATAGTCAGTAAACCTATTTCTCTGTGACATTAAATTATTACTCTGCCCCAGACAGGGATGGCAAAAATGAATGTTTAAGGGGGCGCGGGGGAAACTCAATCACAAACGCAAATAGGTCATGTTTACCTCGAATAAACACCCTGACAGACATCGCGAGGCAGAAGAGCAACTTGAGCGCCTCCGCCAGCATGTTGACAGACGCTGGGAGGAAGTCGTATCTGTTGTCTGGGCATAGACCACGGACAATACTTAAGACGGCCATCGCAATGATTCAAGAATTATATGGCAGAACAGTCTCTTAACCTGCATTAGCAGCAAATTTAAGCAGCAGGATCCGAGTTGTTCCGAGAGTAACAAAACTTAAGCCCAAGGCCAGCGTGTAAACCGATGAGCGTGAACACAGGCAGGGGCAGGAACAGCAGTACGCCATGCCTGTGTGCAGGAAACAACTTATGTACACATAAAAACAGTTTTCAGTTTAATATTGGTGATGTACCTGTGTGGTCATGATTGTAAAAATTTCATTTTCTTCTAAAAATGCACTCAAATAATCATCAACAAACAATAACAACAATAAACTCTAAAAGGTATTGCCATAACATTACCTGCAATTGGCTGGCAACCGGTTCAGGGTGTCCACCGCCGACTGCCCGAAGACAGCTGAGATAGGCTCCAGCACACCCTGCGGCCCTTGTGAGGATAAAGCGGATCGGAAAACAGATGGATGGATGCCATAACACACTGTTTTCCTATTTTCAAGGTGCCTGGGCACATGTTTTACATTCCAAAAATCTCAAGGAACATCACAAACAAAAATGCTGCCTGAGAAACTTAAATACCGTAGTGTTTAAATGCAATGGAATCTAAGTCCGTTTTGACTAACACAAAGATGGTTTGACTTTTCTACGTGTATTACGTAACTTCTGCCATCGATAGGAAAAAGGATTTAATCACCACTTAAAAAAGATCAGACCGTTATTTTGCCTTTTATTGCATGACATATGTATTTGATCGCCTATCAACCAGTAAAATTTAGGGTCAGGAAAATCACAAAACTCATAGTCATGAATTCGATGTCTTCTAAGTAGCCTGCAAAACATGGAAGCCTCGTTGCTGTTTAAAAGTGTAAACATATGCCAATTCTGCAGAAGTGCAATCGCAACAATCGACATGTTCGCATTGTCTTTGAACCACTCAAATGCGAGAATATAAAGGATGCCATTTACAAGTTTTATGGATACATTAATGAAAATGTGCAATGAGATCAATTCATCTGTACAATAAAGACATTTGAAGCTGACCTGATCTGTTCCACTGTAATTTAGGACAACATCATATTGTGAAATCCACGGATCCGCTTTCTTCCTGGTTCGTCATGTATGCGCAAGCGCAGTGGCACATTCTCCTTCTTTAATTTTAAACGGAAGATTGTAAACGGGAATACCGCATTACCGCCACCTAATGATCAGGAAGGATTTTTCTACCTCTGTAATTTTTTTAATTTGTTCCACTCGTTTTGGGAGAAACAAGGGGGAATTAAATTTAGGCGCTCGTGTAAATTATGCATCGCACTAAATTCACACGGAAAATCAGATCTCACACACATGCAGTTAGATTCCGACGGAAAGTGAGACGTTTCTGTGCTGCTACTGCGATAGAGCATATAAAAAAGAGCAACTGAAGCATGTTTTTTGTTTTATACTGGACGTAGGCCATTTATTCCAGCAGAGTTTCAACAAAGCTCCTGAGGCCCAAGGTAACGAAGCTGCGCAATCACGCACGTCGCGATTTGTGGGGCATAAAATGCAATGCCAGCCTACCAAGATGCTTGTGCCCCACCACAGTAGCTAGCTTGATGTTAAGAAATATTAGTGTTCATTTCTTTATCAATAAGACATTAAAAAGATGAAGTATTGAATTACGTGTAAAATAGACATATATATATATATTGTCAGAGATTTTCTCGGACAAGGTTAAAGAAACGACTCGGCACACAGGAAAATTGTCTTCAATATCGACGGAAGCGGATCTCTGAGAGCGAACGACGGTTTAGTTGCTCCGTGATCACGCTCAGAGCCCCCCCTCCTCGAGTTCGAACCTTTATTGTGACATATGCAAAATACAAGAATAACACTGCCCCCGATATTTGCATACCGCACCCCTGGGCCGGCCCCTCGGTGGTGATTGGTTACCTGGGTGTGCGCTTTGAACCAGCGGCACTTTGGCGCCTTTCGGTCTGGTCTACACTGTATCAACATATCGCAGACTTTGCGGACGACAAATGTCGCCTGGGCGCGACGGGTGTCCTCAAATCGTCTTTTGTTGTTCAACCGCTGTTCCCAAATTACTCGTTCCCCCTT